ATTGAGTGGGTTAAAATCGAATCCGGTTTTGATGATATTTTCCATGAGTTTTACCGTTTTGAGAAAATTATTGAAAAGAAGCTAATTGTTTTTTGTATTGAAACATTATTCCGGATATTATTGATTAACTTTTGGACTTATTGAGCTCTACTAGATCATACCCTTATTCTGATACATTCACTAGATAAATTATTTTAACTGTCTACGAGGTTTTGATGAATTGTAGTAGGAAAGATTTTGTAGTTTTGCCACTATTGGATGCCTATATTCGGATAAACAAGTCACATTTTATCACATCAGTTGAGCGCTCTACTCATCAGGAGTCAATTTTTCATATTACCTTGATTTTGGACAGCCTTTGTACAATCCATCCTTGAATCATTGTGAATCTATCATTTGACAACCAATGAAAGGCTAATACATAACCGGCTTTAAGAAAAAAACTATAATCCCACCCAGTAACAAGCCTTCAGCTTGCATTAATCCTTTGGATGATTATTTTCCTGCAAATTTATTTAGTCAGGTTATGAACACCAGCCGATAATTATCCGAAATCAACTTACATTAAGACTCCTCTTCACTATTAGTCAAATCTGAATGATAAGAAACTTATTCCTTAGCGACGTAGAATAGAGAGGAGCACCTGGAAGCTTCAGGTCAATAATTAATAGTTTTATTTGTAACCAGTTCCATAGATTTAATGATATAAATGTAAGAATTTTCTTACAACTTTAAGAACTTTTAAAGTACAATGACGTTTTTATTTAATATAATATCCTTTAAATCTATGCTTTTTAACATTAGTTTATAGGTGACTCATAGCAAGTCAACTGAATATGAAGTTAAAACCGTGTAAATCACATATTCCTTGAATAAAGAGCTGCTAGCTTGGCTTTTTGGACATATTATAAACTTTATATTCGAATCATATTATCAGCACCATTTAGGGAACTTCATACGACTTCTAATAATGGCATTAAGGGTTCCCTCTCCCAGTTGCCTAGAATCAATTCGCTATTTTTTTTTTAAATTTTGTTTTAACATACAGAGTCGATTGGATGCTTGACTACCAAGGCATGATGGTTTTAACTACAAACCAGGTATGGTGGACTTGGGAACTCGAAGATGTGTTCAGAAAAATCTCGCGTGGTCAAAAGACAGCACTCAAGGAGTATGCAAGCTTGCTGCAGAACCAGTTGGATGATGTCGTGGTACGTATAAGGGCGCCACTTAGCAAGAATAACAGGGCCAAGTTGACAACGGTGCTGATAATTGACGTACATGCGCGTGATATCGTCGATACTTTTGTGCGCGACAGCGTTCTTTCAGCCAGAGAGTTTGAATGGGAGGCTCAGATGCGATTCTACTGGATTCGTCAGTCCGACGGTATCCTCGCGATTGCTGGCAGTGGTCCTGTACTTGGCCTCAGTATGGTTCCCAATTCTAGTATTGGAAGTGTAGATGCTGAGGAAAGTGACAACCTTGTGGTGCGTCAATGCACAGGAAATTTTCTGTATGGCTATGAATACATGGGACTCAACGGCCGCCTGGTAATCACCCCACTTACTGATCGTATCTACCTGACCCTAACTCAGGCACTTTCCATGCATCTTGGAGGCGCACCAGCAGGCCCTGCGGGCACCGGGAAGACAGAGACCATTAAAGACCTGGCCAAGGCCCTGGGAATCCTCTGTCTTGTGACCAATTGCGGTGAGGGTATGGATGCTATGGCGATTGCCAAAATCTTCTCCGGCCTTTGTCAAACTGGCGCCTGGGGCTGCTTCGATGAGTTTAATCGAATTGAGGCGCCAGTGCTGTCTGTGATCTCAACACAAATCAGGACTATCCAGACTGCTCTAGCAGCTTGTGTTCGTAGGTTTCAGTTTGAGACATCTGAAATTCGCCTAAATCGACGCGTTGGCATCTTCATAACCATGAATCCGGGTTATGCCGGGCGCACGGAATTACCAGAGTCAGTAAAGGCGCTGTTCCGACCCGTCGTAGTGATTGTGCCTGATCTCCAGCAAATATGTGAAATTATGCTTTTCTCACAGGTGGGCTGGCAGTTTTTTACTCTTTTGCCCTATTGAATTAGGCGTTGATTGTTCTATAAATTATCTCACGGGCTTCTGCATTG